ATAATGAATTGGTAACAATAAGATTGCGTTTATATTTCACTCTGGGTAGCCACTGCACTCATTTTACCAATAGCTAACATATTAATGAAAATTTTTAAATATAATATAAAATACATGTATGGGAATTTGAACTCATTAAAAGAGACCGCGTGAACACTGCAAGGCTTACTGCAGTTTTTACTGGTCATTGGTGTGTAGGAACTCATGCAGAGAAACTGCGCATTCCTCATAACCCTCACTGGAGAAGCTGTGGAAACCCGCAGGAGAAAGAAATCATAATACATTTTCTCTGTGAATGCCCGGCTTTGGCGTTCAGAAGATATAGGTTCTTAGGAAAATACTTCCTTGATAGTTTATCAGACTGTTCATTGGCGGGATGGATTTAGTCTCTACTCTTCTATAGTAGGGTTCTCGTGAGGAATGTGGTAGCAAAACGGCGAAAAATCGCTAATTGAGATACATGGAACTTATCTAATGACCTGCCACTGCAACCAACCAACCAACCACGATCCAACGATTAAGACAAAGTTTTCATTAACTGTTTCTTGCGATTGTTTTCATTTAATTTAAATTTTGAAGTTAATTTGTAGAATTATTGAATTTTGAAACTCCACAAGTTCAAAATGATACTTATTATTTCTTTTTGTGCAATATTATCAATACATTTTACTTTAATAATAACTGAATTGAATTTTCTCACAATTTCGAGAATCCATTAATGTGAAAGAATCAATTTTAATAAAAAGGAAAAAAATTCAAAAGAATTAACTATGAAATGAAAGGAAGCTGGTGCTATGAAACTTTGCCATCCCAGATACTCACTAAAGAAATGACAATAACGTGAATGGCAATGGAATTTCTTCAAAATCAACATTTCATTTATGCGCTTCAACAGTTCAGGAATCATCAATAATAATAAAAATATCGACTGAAAATAGTAGCTTTGCATACTATCTTGTTTGTTTCCTGTTTAATAGATACATTTCCAGAAATTTGTTCATTTGCAGAATGGCTTCCATTTGAATGTATTGTACAATCATGAAATACTGTATTTTCCTTCATTTGTGCTCTTTTGATTTTTATGTTTTTTATGTACTTTCACAAGTTTTTGCAGGAGGATTCAATCCAGTTTATTTTTTAGCATTGAAGCTCATATTTTTTCCATTTTCTTCCGTAGTTGGTATGGAATCAGAAATCCTTAAAATAACCACAAATTTTATGCTATCGGACAAAGGTAAACAAATTGCAAAAAAGACATTATTTATTGTTATAGTTTTTGATGATATCTCACGTTCTTGTTAATTTTGTTATTTGCTTAAGAAGTTTTGTCTCTATTGTCTGTTTTTGTTGAAAAAATATTGGAAATACTATATAATAATGTGGGAAAGTGTGAGAAATTGTGTGAAGATGGAAATGCCGTGGGCGAATGCCCTTTAAAAAGGTAATGTGACTGTAGTAAGCTTATTTAAAAAGTAGCAGTTACTGGGGACTTCAAAATGGTTTAATTTATGAGCAGTTATTTTATTTCGATTTATTACAGTATTACGAATACTTTACATTTTTACGGAACATCTGTTCTGCAGCAAAACAATGTGATGTTTTGCAAAGTGCCTGGTCACACAGGAATCAATGGTAATGAGTCTCCGGACAATCTTGCGAGGACGGGATCTACCATTCAACTCTGTGGACCAGAGCAATATTGTGGATAAAGTTGGTCTACAGCTAGAACTCTAATTAAAACATATTTTTCAACCAAGAGAAGTCGCTACTGGCGCGAAATTCCAGGTAATCGTCCGGCTGAAGAGTTGGTTAATCCCTATAATTACGGTAAGGTATCCTTCGCCAGCAATACAGAGTTAACGCTGCTTGCGGGATATTTAACAGAACTGCGTTATCACCTTAACAAAATGAATCTGTCCGAAGAGATAGATTGTCGAGCCTGCTTAGAAGCAGACGAGACTTCCAGTCACATTCTTTGTGACTGCCCAGTCTTGATCTGGGCCAGGATGCAGTCACTTGGTGGAGAATTACTTTCCCCAATTGTATATTGCTGTTTTTTTTTCGCTCTTAGAGGCGTAGATCCATAACTCCTTATTTGTCAGGATGTCATAGACCAGAGCTGTCCAATTCAGATGAGATCGTTGCAAATACACATCACTGTACAGATTGGAGGGCCACTGAAACAAATATTCCTCGGCCGTAGATCCATAACTCCTTATTTGTCATGATGTCATAGACCAGAGCTGTCCGTCCAATTCAGATGAGATCGTTGCAAATACACATCACTGTACAGATTGGAGGGCCACTGAAACAAATATTCCTCGGCCGTATTTTTTTTAGCACCAGTACGTGCCTTCTTCGATTCAAAAATTATGGGAAATTTAACGGTAAGAAATCTTTTTGACAGTATATGTAAAATGAAATGTATGCTTATCCCACTAATGCCTAAGAACGCCTCTATTTCCCAGTAAGTAAGGCTTATCTATCTCAATCATGAACTAAAACTTTGTGATGATATTCACACTAGGAAACATCAAACTTTCGAACAGAAATTTCAAACTGTGTCTTGCAAATCTTGGTGGTGCCCAGACGTAAGAATTGGTCCTTACACCTGTGAAAAACCCTTCTTTATACAAATATTTTTAAGCATTAATATCCCTATATAATTTAAAACTAATTTTTATCTCAGTAAAAAAAAGTTTCTAACATATGAGTCATGAGTTTCTGGAATTAATTCTTTTTGCAATATATATTGATATTTTCTACTGTGCATTTTAATTTTTAATTTTAAATGGAAAATGCACACGAGACACATCATTTGCCTTGAAGTTATTTTAAATTTTCTCACAATTTCGATTTTGCGTACTTCTGATATTTTGTGTTGCAGCTCAAAGAAGCCATAGTATAAGGTTTTTATGCAGTATATTATTGTACTTAAGTCAAAGTCATTTCATTGTTATAAAATAACATTCTGCCAAAATGTTGTGACTCACATTTTCTTCTGCTTTTATTATTGGCCCCTGGCCTGTAGAAGAGCAGGTCTCTACAATGGAAATCCCACACAATACTCACTATCACAGCTGCAGTCATCTGGGGAAGGAGAAAACTATTCTTCACTTTCTCCGTACCAGAACTACCCTTTCGAGGCAGATGACAGTTACGTTACGCAAACTGCTCTTCACCGATCTAGATGAGTTAACTACAATTGATATTAATGAACTTCAAAAGTTATGAAGCTCCATAAATTGGACTTAATCGTGCTGTATTAGATGAAATGATAAATGCCTGGCCTAAGTAATAAAAACATATTTTTTTTGGAAAATTATATTTTTTGCTTCAATATAGTCACATTTTAACTTGACACACTGAGTCCAACGATCTTTCAACACTCGAATACCTCTCAAATAATACAATTTATCAAGACCTCCCAATGGAATGGCTTCCCATTCCATTTCATCATTTGATTCAAATCTGTTTCCCTGGGAGAGCCAAATTTGATGAATATGGTGGATGAGGCAACAATTCGTAACGTAATTCATTTAATTTAGAAATAGTTTCCATTGTTGTGTGAGCAGGTGCATTATCCTGCAAAAACAACATTTTATTCTTCGACAAATGTGGTCATTCATTCAATTGATCCTCATTCAATCGATCCAATAATATGCAATCGTTTTTCCAAATAGTGTATGAAAATTATTCCACTTGAATCTAAAAACACGGAAGCCAAAACTTTTGCAGTCTATTGTTAAGTTCATCGTCGTTTGACCCATTCTCTGGCTTGTTGTTTTCCCTCATATGTGAAGTAATGGACCCGTGTTTCATCAATTGTCACTAAACGTTAAACGTTTTCAAAAAATATTTTCAATAACGAAGTCGTTATCTTTTTGGTTAATTGTGAGCAATTGTGGCTGCCACCCATCTTGCCGAAAGATTTTTCATCCTTGAATATTTATGTGAAATATTCTATACGCCTTAATGTGATATGTTTCTCATCACTGCTACCTGCTATATCATGCAATTTAAATTTTAGATCATACAGCACAATATCGTGGATTCTTTCAATGCTTTTTTCACTTGTGACCTCTTTCGGACGAACCGGACGCCCTTCATCAAAAACACTTGTACGACTACGTTTAAATTCACGGTTTGGATCACGACCTTAACCAATTAACACTTTCTAACAAATTATGTATAACATCTGCTAAATAGTTTTTGCTACAGTATATGGAAATTTGGCATATCATATAATTCGGAATATGCTAATGTTATCTTCCTCCTTATTCCGCTTTTTCAGAATTCTTCTTGCTTCTTAATTTTTCCACAATTCCACAGTTTGTATAAGGAAACATCTTCCCTATTTGTAATTTAAAATCGGCAATAATAGTTATTTGAGAATAGTTATTTTAGTGATCCACAAAATTAAATGAATACTGAAGTAATCTGTCAGTGCACCATTATGAAAAATACTCTGGTGCTATCATCGTTTGCAGTCTTTTTCAGTACATCATTTGTTAACAAATCACATAACCCTTAGTTTTTTAAGTAACCTCTTTTTATAAAATATATATTAAAAATAGCCAATTTAATTTTTATGCTTTCCGATGAGAACATTGAAAACTGGAATAATAAGTAGAAAGACTATAACTTCTGATTTTAAAAACAGATTATGCAAAAAGATTTTGCATTATCCATAATCGTTACCAAAAAAAAAAAGAGAGGAACAACTGTTTAGTTGACACATAAATGTTATTTTTTTCTTAATAATTTTCCCGGCTTAGATTTTTCAAATAATTGCAATATTCTCCAATTTTTTGTTTAAGTTGTACTCCTTTTTTTGATAATACAGGAATACAAATGTGTAGGAAATCAATATCACATTGCAAAGGAACCCTAAGAAGTTGAAATATTGGCAGATAAAAGAAGCCCTAAAGGATACGTTTTCAAGGTATTTAAAAATTAAATAATTACTTTTCCTATAAATGAATTAAATGTAAAACCAGTTGTAGTTCTTAAATCATTATTCGAATTAAAGGTTTCTGAATAATCGAGAGATGGTAATTATATGTTTAACAAACTGTATGAAGTAATACAACTACTTTTGTATATTTTAAACATATTTTACTGTTCGTTCGCCAGAACCTATCATTGTGCTTTCAGGTTTGTATTCCGACGGCATCTTTACGAAGATATCATATCGTTTTGGATTTCGAACAGGAATCTCAGTTTTTAGCAATACTTGACTTGTGTAGTTGTCACGCATTTCAGTTCGTAAGCTGTAATTAGGTACAAACTTTGGAAGCTTTACGGGCTCAAATGTCGTATCCTTAGCTTTAACTTTTGGTACAGGAGGTGCAGAAAATTTGAATTTTTTCCAATTCCAAAAGGTTATATTATCATGTGCACCGTAACCAGATAGTATCTGCTGTGGAGTACGATGCACATATGAAATTTTGTATGTGGTGGCACCAGCATCCAAGTACTTTGCAGGTCCACGATCACTACTGTTGAACATTATCGGCGTTGTTTTGATTCTTGTGGTCATATCTAGTGTGTGGCGTGGTGGTTCTGGTGGATCAGGATTCCAAGTATAATCCTCGTGTGAAAGGCTGTTGGGTGGAAACATTGGGCGTGGTATAACACTGAACTGAACATCCTCGAATGGCTTCATATACTGCTGCTTCATCTGCAGTTTAGGATTAGTTGCTTTGCCTAGATCTTCCTGTGTCTATACGTTAAAAATTGAAATGAGAATGTGTTATGAGAACGTGTTTGGGTATTGATTTTTTAAAAATTCTTGCACTTATCTTTCATAAATAAATTCCATTTTATGTATACGTACCAATGGTTCATATTGATCCTTGTACTCAGTTGTACGGGCTTTCAATACGAGACGATCTTCAAGAAAACTTTTATCAAAAGTATTCTTCAGTTCGGCTTTCTTATCAATTGTCATATAGCGGTGAGCCAAGTAAGTTCTGGTACGAAAATCTTGTGCTCCTTGCTTTGGCGCTCGATGGTCCATCAAGTTAAATATTTTCAAGTGCTTGTCCATGATGTAAAGTTTTTTTTTTCGATGACCTCTCAATATATGAATTCACGTTTATGTAATAAAACTTTTGAGTTTCTCTTGATTGAATTATTTAAAAAAAATGCAAAACATATTTTATAGAATATATAGTAGATTAAAAAACAGTTGTGTTTTTAGCAAAACAAAATATATTAATTTAAACAAAATATACTTTTGTGTTTTTTATTCATCATATAATTAATAACGTGTTTGAAAAAATATTTTTTTAAGATAAGTAATGCCATAGTTGTTCAGTTTTTTTTATTAAAGAACAAATTTTTTAAAATTTACAATTAACATTTGTGGCCGATATTCCAGTGACCACAGAAGTATTACTATACGAGGACAAGCCTGAAAGTCATATTAGCAACGTTCTAACCAATAATTATTAAGTCTAATAGCGTATGCAGCTTTAATATAACTTAAGTGAGAGTACGCATAAACACTTTCTTCTGCTCTCAAGAGATAGTAGTATCTTAAGTGGGCACAAAAGTTGGTTGAGACCTTTTGCTAAGCATCGAGTTTCCGACCGAAAAAGGAAGACACTAAAAAGACGAAATGTAATATAAGTCAAGACAGTCTTTGCAGAAGTATCGATTGACATCAGTTTGAAGACATAATTTCTACAACATCTTCTCTTCAAGCAAAATACTACTCGGGTCACGTTTTGAGTGCAGACAATACAAGGATCATTATGTAATCAAGCTTTCTGAGGAATTACTTTTCAATAGTTTTGAATTGTGAAACTTTGGTAAAAGTTTAGTGAGATTTTTTGCAATTAATAAATCTGATTAAATCTGCTCAGAAATATTAAGATAATATTGGTTGTCATGTATATCGAATCCGTTTCTATAAAGTGTTACTTAAATGTGAAGTCACTGTATGAAAATAATAGATATGGCTGAAATTAAGATGTTCATCCAAATCCTTTACTACCAAATTGAAATAGATGCTGAAGTGCACACAAATTGGCTTTAAGATAAAACTTATCTATCTAAAGTATAAACTCTCATTTTATAGGGACAGCTTCACGTAAATTCTATAAAATTTATAGCTAGTACTCCCTATTGAATATAAGAACAGTCGGTAAAAATTGTTAATATATTATTCAATTTCTATTAGACAAAATGGTTAGGAGAACTTCCACACTTAACTTAAATTGATAGATTTTATCGGTCTTGGATCTTAAGAAAACGCCAAATGAGACAATTAAGTATTCGTTTCGATGACGTTACCATATACACGCGTTTAATCATCACTAATTATATGTTGGAACAAGTCTGGATCGTTAACTATGACATAAAGCAATTTTGTTAGTGATGCTTTAACAATGCTTTATTGCTAAAATTTAAATTATTATTATTATTATGACATGTTCTATAAATTAATTACAATTCAAGAACTTAGTCTATTCAAATATGTTTTCCAAACACCCCTTATTTGTAAGTTTCCCTGTTTATCGATCTTCTCCATGTAACATAGTTTTCGGCCGTCCACGATTCCTTCTCGGTTTACGTAGGGTATGTCCCAGCCAGCCATATTTCCGCTTCATTATATGCTTTTCAATGGGCTGCGGATTTGTAATTTTTCATAAGCGCTTATTACATATGGAAACATATGTTAATATATTTGTTAACGTATGTCTTCAGTTGTTGTGAGATAGCGGCCGTAACAAACGATTCAGATCCATATAACAGACTTTTGATACAAGCATCGAAAATAGTTTTTAAATGCAAGGTTGTTGAACGTCAAATATTTTTCAGATTAGCGAAGGCATATCTGGCCTTCCGAAGTCGATTGACTACGTCTTCTGAAGTACCACCTTTTATTGTTACAATGCTGCCAAGGTATTCAATCTTTTCGACGTTTTCCATGACCGTATTACTTATTGTGAGCTAGAAGGTGTTAGGCGTCTTGATGTGCATGGATTTTGTCTTAGTAATATTAGTGTTAATACCCACTGTTGCACACTTAGTTGATTTGGGTTTGCATACTAGCGTGTGTGTTAGAGATCAAGACCACATTATCGGCGTATTCCAAATCCTTCAGTTGATTACAAGTCGTTCTGTGTCCAGGGTCTCCAGTACTGCGTCCAGTACCCTTATGAAAGAAAGTAGCGAGAACGCACAACCCTGCCTTACAATGGATGCTCAGCGCATCATTGTGTATTACTCTTCATGTATCTCCTTCATAGCTGCTTTTAAAAATATTGACAATTTTAAGTGGGATACCTCTAGCTTCCAGCACCTTGCACACGTATTCGCATTTTAACGCATCGAATGCTTTTTCAAAGTCGATGAAGGTGAGATATAGGTTTATGTTGAGTTCTGCTGACTGCTCAATGAGTATTCGTATAGTGTTAATGTGATCTTTGCATGACAGACCAGAGCGAAACCCTGTTTGATTCTGCCGGAGTAGATTATTAAGTGGCTCAATGATGCGGTTTCAAATTATCTTTAATAGTTTCACTAATATTATTATATTTAAAAAATAAAGCTTAATAATTTTCTAAACACAAAATTAATTTATAGACGTACGAGATTTTATGTGTTGACTGCTCACGTTACCGATTCAAACTGTACGCCCTCCTGTCAAAATAATAATAGTAGTAGCACTGTGAACATACACTTTGGAGCACTCGCAAAGATTATTCAGACAGGGTAAATTGCTAAATTTCCTATGAATTAGCAACGTGGCCCAGCCGGTAACGTTGATCTCCTAACCTAGCAACATGGCCTAATCCGTAACGTTGATCTCTTGACATAGCATCATGGCCCAATCGGTAACGTTGATTTTCTGACCTTGTAATGTGGCCCAGTCGATAACGTTGATCTTTTAACCTAGCGATGTGGCCCAGGCGGTGACGTTGATTTTCTTACCTAGCAACGTGGCCCAGTTGGTAACCTCGATTTCCTGATCTACCAACGTGACCCAGTCGGTTACGTTGGTTAATTTTTTAAATTGACAATCGTTCTTCCGATTTCAGATTTTTTTTATATATTTTTGTAATTTAGTAAAATAAAAATAATAACAAAGAAACTAAACTAAAAATAACCAATCTTTAAAATTTACTGTAATGTATTATGATTAGCATATTTTTTTTTTAAAATATTGCTTAAGTAATTTTAATGTCATATAAGCTGAACTTGAAACGGGTGATAAGAAAATTTATTCTGACACTATTGTCAATCCTCATGTAAAATCTGTATTGACAATCCAGTCAAAATAATGATAATAGGTCTGTTCCACGAGCTACTCATAGTAAAACATGAGTAAAACAGAAGTAAAATTTAATTTACACAAAAATACTTGAAAATTTGCTGGTGGAACAGGCTTGTGTATACACAGTGTTTACTCAAAGTTACTATGAGTAGCTCATGGAACAGACCTAATATGACGACTATTGACAGGATTGTCAATAGAGATTTTATGTCAGGGTTGACAATAATATCGGAACAAATTTTCTTCTCACCCGTTTCAAGTATATGACATTCAAATGTGACATTCTTAAGTCACATTTTAAAGAAAAATATGCTAATCATAATACATTACAGTTATGTTCACGTTTTCATTATTGATACCACACACCTCGGTATCTTAAATGTCTTAACCTCCTTGGAACTGTTTATAACACCAACAAAGTTGTGGTTATGACTTAGCATTAGCGGCAATGATTTTCTTTGCCATTTTAAATGTTACACAAACTCTCTGATCCGATATTTTAACGTCCATAAAATTGCGATACATAAAAATGAGTGTTTTGCTTCTTCGCTTGGAAAAATACTTACCAATGCAGCTGCCCGACAAATAACGTGAACATTATTTGCTGCGCAACCAATACACAAAATGACTTAACTTGTTAAATAAGATACTATGGGTGCAATGCTCAATTTTTCGTTGCATTTTAAACACGTTTCGTAAATTGTGTCAATTATTATCAAAGGCGAAATATAGGAGAACTCTTTTCTGGGATGTAGAGACTGCAATGCGTACCAATTGCATAGCTGTGCATTTAATGTGCATTTAATTATACTATTTTATTAAAATGTATAATTAATTTAAAAGTCGGAAGTATTTATTTTCAGTGCAACAAATTTCAGTGTATTTAGTAACTAATTTTATGTACGAAATTAAATTTTCAACTCGCCCTGATGAAGCATGGAAAATATGGACTTAATTTGCTGATGTGATCGCTGCAAATTAACAAATTTCAGCGACAATTTAAATATTGCAAATGGCCAAATGGCCCAATGGCCAAATGTCCAAACGTCCAAATGTGCAATGTGTGCGTGTAAACTGCCATTTCCGTTTTATTAATAGTGGAAATTTGTTTTAACTTCCGCTCCGGCGGAGTCGTTACTTTTATTGTTGTGCGCGCTATGCGGAGTAGCGCGTGCACAGAGCACACAATTTGGCTCGGCGTGCCACACTGCGTGCGTCCAAATGTCATTCCGTCAACGAGGTAGTTAGTCAGTTCCAATGGCACGTTCCACAAACTATTTGCGAAATAATTGTAAATATTGAAGCGTTTTCCCAATACTTTCGATGTGTTAAATTGAAGGCAATTAATAAAATTTACAAAAGTTAAGTGGCAGTAGAGGAAAGTTACGTATTCCTCTACTGCTGCTTCCTTCAGTGACTTTGTTACGGGAATCAAATTGTTTTAAATAATAACTTACTTTTACTTTCATTTAACATTATTGTGCAAAGAAAGTTTATTAAGTTCGTCGAGCTGTTTGTAATGCAGTGAACGAAACATTGAAGAAAGAGTTGTATGTCACATTGAACAGATTTATGAGACAAATCGGTTTGGAGATGTCTGCTTATAAATTTATCCTTCTAACTAAAGTGTGCTTAAATAAACTTAGGAATGAAATCCATTTACTTTATCATGGAATGTAACGCATACAGTTTAGCCAAGACTGTCCTCTGATGCTTTGTTTTTACCTCATATTGGAAACTACACGTTATTTAACTTGCGATTAGCTAGTTAAAATTATTGACATATTTGACGAATTTCATCGAAACATTCCTAACATCTTTCTAATGATGAACTCTTGAGGGTTTTTGATCCCACCCATATCAGTTACTCATACTGTGTGTATGATACTTTCTACTTTCTACTACTACTTTACTTTCATACTTTCTCCTTGTTAAATTT